AAAATATCATTACACATCAAATATATCAATAATATATCACATCAACACGTCAAATATATCAGTAATATATCACAGCAACATGTCAAGATATCAAAATCAGATATGATAATCAGTAGTATAATCAAATATATATCAGTAGTATATCAACAGTATATCAGAACACCTACATCATAATAAAATCAAGAAGATATATCATCTCATACATATTATACATATATCAGAAGCATATATTATTGGTATATCATTAAAGAAAACAAACCTGGATTCATTTCTTTCAACTTCACAAAAAACTTCGGAATCAATGCATAAGAATCATCAGCATCTCCTGTCAACAATTTATTAACAGCTGTTTTTGCCCTCCAAGCTTTATAATAACTAACACCAACTCCATAGTTTGTGCGCATATGATGAATGATATCTTTCGGAGTCGAACGATCAGGAGAACTAAATCTAAATTTCTCAACCATACATTCACCAATAAAAGATGATGAAGCTTGTCTATGAGAAGATTGAACTATTGTCATACGACAATTATGATCACTAACATACTTTCTAATCATCCATAGTTCACTACCTCTATAACGAGATGCTCTAACATACCATTGGCAGCCATTCTGAACACATTCAAACTCAACTGATTTGAAATTTGATTTCAAAGTCTTCAACTGAAAGCTATTCTTTATAGCCATAAAGTGAAAAGCTTTTGACAAAACTTCCTTATTTGCAAATAAATCCTTCTCCTTCAGATAAAATGCAGAAGACATACTAGTAATATCAACATCGTTATAAACTTGAAAATATCTTTCAATTATAGCAGAAGAAGCAACAACCAGACCTAAATTCTCACTTCCAGAATTAATAACACTAGACTCCTCCAAAGGCATAGCATTTACATGAGCAACTAAAGGATATCTTGTGCTGTCATCCTTAACCAAAGTAAAAAACCAAGCAACATTTTTATCTTCATTAATCTCAACAACAGTTTGAACTTCATTACTACCAAACTTTAATAAAACTGAAAATTGGACAAAACAAATTGATGGATCTAACTTCACTTCATTCAATATCAAATTCCTAAAATTTTGAAAATTCATATCTTCGTCAACCAAAATCCCAATAGTTTTGTAATTCATATAGCAATGACTATCATCTCATTCACCACTGTGAAAAACAATTATTGCAAGCTTGCTCATAACTACAAACACTGCAAAAATATAAAATATTGATGATATTAGTAAATCAATCAACAAATAACATAACATAAGCCGCAGGCATACGCTATATTTAATATCTATATTGAGTATATCAATTATAGATATACGTAAAATATCTATGATATACCTCATTGATATACTTCATATTCAATTGAAGTATATCAGTATGATATACCTCACTGATTTAGGTGATATACCTCACCTAAAATTCAGGCAGGTTCTCCACAATCTTAATGGTGATCCTTCACCCAAAATCAGACACCAATAACTAAAATCAAGCTTAAATTCGAAAGAAGAAGAAGAAAAACTAAAATCAAGACCTCAGAAACGAACAAAATCGAAGAAGAAGAACAACAAAAACTAAATATAATTATAATAGTCCCTCAAGAAGTCCAAATTCTTCTTTTCGAAATCTGCCTTATTAAAACGGACAGAAGTTCCTCAAAGGCTGAAAGTTCTTCACGAACAAAATCGAAGAAAAAGAAGAAATAAAAATCGAAAGAGCTAAAATGGAAACCTGATGAACGAACGAAGACGAAGTAAGAAGCTAAAATCGATACCTGATGAATGAATGAATACGAATGAAGAAGCTAAAATTGATACCTGATGAACGAACGAAGACACGCGAAGAAGAGACGAAGGAAGAAGACGATGATCCGAGAGAGAACGAAGATGCGCGAAGAAGACGATGATCCGAGAGAGAACGAAGAAGCACGAAGAGACGAACGAAGAAGACGATGATCTGAGCAAGAGAGAACGAAAAAGCGTGATAAATATGATGAGGGTAATTTGGGAATACTAAAAAATTCAAAATTAGAATCCTATAAAAATTGCTATATTTGAAATTTTGATAACTGGGTACTATATTGTTAAATACCTAAAACTTATTTGCCACCCAATGTAATAACCCTATTATTATTTTAATATTATTATTACTCCCCTGCAATATTGCAGGGGAGTGGGAGGTTGTTGTGATGTGGGGAGTTACCCCACGTCATTGTTCTTCTTCTTCAAGGGCTGGAGAAAACAGAATAGTACGAGGAAAAAAACTCCCATTGATTTTCTCTAAAAAATCAAGCTCTCTCTATCTGATATTTTCCCTCTCATTCCAAAGAACTGCTCCCACAAGCACGGTCTCATACCCAAAGGATAGCGAGGAAGATCCGGTGGTGGTGTTCGAGGGGAACTCACTGAAGAAACGTTCTTCAAAGGTTTGATTTTTCCCCTGTATTTTCCTTCTTTCAATTTCGGTTTTCTATCCCGAAAATCAGCAACGAAGATCCGCTTCCGCTCCGGGATTCACATCCCTTCAAGGTTGTTTTTAGAATTTCCACTATTTAGATTATAGAGTTCAAAAACAATTTTAAAAAATAAATCTGATAAACACATGTATTAAAGTTTCAAATTCAAATTCAAAATCTTAATAAATACATTGCTTTTAGAATTTTGACTTGTTGATGCAAAAATCTGCTCAAGCGTTGTAGAGCAACCTGTGTTGAGTCCTAGCATGCTGTTGCGGAGCGAACTGGGTAGGGAAGGTCTCTCAAGTGGACTGAAGTATAGCGAGCTTGAGAGGGAAGACCTTACAGCCGAGTTGATGTAAAGCGAGCTGGAGGAGGAGACTTGCAAAAAAAAAAGATAGAGCACTCCAACCAAGTTAGTCTGAGTTCGAGCTGGGTAGATGATAACTCTCCTAAAGATAGGAGAGTTATTTGTGTCTAAAATTCGCATAAGATAGCTAAAGATAGACTCATCTAGTCCCCATATTCACTGAGTTTTGCCTACTTAGCGAAGAAATCAAAGTTCTCCTGTATAATGCTAGCATTTATATAAATGATCTAATTGTGAGCATTTTGCTGTAGCTTTGATAATGCTACAGCATCGGGTCCAAAAAGAGACAAAAAGCAGCAATATGGCAGTGAGAAAAGACTTATCAACGAAATTTACCACAGTAACTGGAGGTTTCACTTGGGAGTGAGAGTTGGGTCCCACAGGACTTATTTTGTTGCCCTAAAATTGGAGGGAAGTATAAAGGTCACAAGAAAGAGAAGTCTTCAGACACACACAAGACTATTCCCTCTCATTCTTGCAATCACTCAACCCTCACTTCAAGAAAACCTCTCCAACCATTCGAAGAAGTCAAGAGGAGAAGAATACCATACAACTGTAGCTAAAAAAACAAAAAAGCTGAGAACTCTTCATCTTTTAAGCTCTTTGTATTGTTTTTATTCTGATATTTTTTATTCCCTTATGACATTGTCTAGCTAAACACCTTGTGTAAGAGGGAGATGTAGTGAACTCATTTCAAGGGATGTAACTTTGTTGTTCTGTATTAATGATAGTGTGTTTTGAATTGAAGTTATTTTATTATTCCATTTTCAATGTGCTTGATCACCATGTTGAGATACCTCCTTGTTAACTTTTGGAAAAATGTAATAGGGAGCGAAAAACTTCATTTCTACATGGCTGTTTATTTTAGTATTTATTCCGAAGAAAAATTAGTTAGTGTAATACACTGATTTCTTAGGTGAATATCGAGTGTTTGGGCACATCTTTGGCAACTAAGGGCAACTAGAGGTCTTCTTGTTGGTTGTTAGGTCTTCGACTACATTGAACAAACTAGAACAAGGCTATGAAAAAGAGTATGGTCTTTATTATGCCGAGACGTGATTTGATAGCAGAGAAGGGTGTAGCTTGGAGCCCGCCATGTCTTCAAGAACACCTCCCTGGATTTCGGGGATGGTTACTAGAAGGAGTCTCGTATCCGAGGAACAGGGGGATACAAAAAAGTAATAAGAGAGGCACATAGACCAATCAATCGTATCGGTMGTGAAAGCTTTGTTAAGCCGAAACCTAAATGTTAAGTCAGCAACACTTCCAAATGCCACTTCTTCCCGTCGCATCCGATTGTGTATACTTCCACATATATAAATTAGTAACATAATCCGAACCAACAGTAGATCAACTTCAGACAGAAATTGCATATCTTAGTGGGTGGAGTGAATGTGTATTTATAGGGGTTTGAGGAGTACTTACGCACATCCCATCAACTGTAGAATTGTTTCCCAAGTGGGTGTAACTACTATGTAGTGTTGACGGAACTGCATAACGTCAAAGCTTGTCCCTTAGGAGCTCGATCGTGGATGAGCTTAAGAGCTAGGCCACGGATGAGCTGAGAAGTTCGACAGTGGAAGAGCTTAAGAGCATGGTCGTGGATGAGCTTAAAAGCTCTTCCTAGATGAACTTAAGAGCTCTTTTATAAATGAGCTTAGAAGCTCTTCCGTAGATGAACTTGGAGCTCGACAATAGATGAGCTTGAGAGCTATCACTAGATGAGCTTAGGATATCTTCCGTAGATGAACTTGAGAGCTCGGTCATAGATGAATTTAAGAGCTCTTCCTAGATGAACTTAGAAGCTCGTACGTAAACGAACTTGGGAGCTCATACGTAGACGAATTTTGAGAGTTCGACCGTAGATGATCTTGCCACGTGGTAGGTCATATTTTTGCCCCCAACATGACTATTTGGATCAAAGTATCCAAAAACCGTTTTAAAAAATAAACGCATATCACAACCAAAGTCCTTGATACCGTGCTTAAAATGGAGGTTTATTTTCAAGAGGACAACCGAACTCATCCTAATTATCCAACTTGCCACACTCATACTGGTCCACGTGTCACTCTCAGTATCCTATAAACGAGAAGCCGATAATCAATGATGAGGATGATAAGAGGGATTTCGATGACTCACAACGTTGGAACTTCCAATCTCGCTGGTTTTTCCACTTTGGTGTGCAATCCCAGGACAGTTTCACCTTCATTTCTTCCCAGAAGTACGTTTCCCCACACTCGCCATTTCCACGGATTTCATTTCGCCAGGCCCAGGAAAACAATTTTTCACGACAGAAGATGGAGTTTATCTGCGTATGCCAGCTCTAGCTCTCTGGAGCTCCCACTACTTCCCTTCGATGTCAATGACGTAAATTAATCCTTCTCTGACTTTACTTCAAACATCTAGTATGTCAATCGTATGTTTATTGTCGAATAATTGTTCCAATTGATTGGAAATACAGAACATAGATCAATTTAATTAAGAAGTTTCTATTTTTCGTCGATTGAACCATATTTAGATCACTCCTTGTCAACTTTAGTTGTTTACACGTATCTCAGGTCCTTGTTCCGTCGGAGAGTAAAACACTACATCTATATGAAGCCAGGTATCTAGCTCTACTGGAGGAGGTAGGTGACATTTATTTTATATATGTCATGTTTGTGGAATTAAGACTGCACATTTTGCATGTGTGCTTACATTATCTGATAATGTTTTTCAGTACACCAAAATCAGTTGATACCTAATCGTAATTCAGTTTAAAATGTCTTCATAAGTGCATACAAGTTTTTCATGATTGGTTATAGAACATTTTGCACCTGTAGATCTTGTCTTCCTTGCATTCATGTTAAGATATTCCTAACGTCATTCCTAATTTTCACCATTGGTGTAGATGACCCATTTGGACAAAATGTCAGATTTTATTATGGACAGTTTTCTCTAAAGAAAAACATTTAGCGGATAGACAGATAAGAGGATTGTGCTGTCATTATTATATTTTTCAATGTAGTATCTGTTGACTCAAGTTCTGTTGCCAGTCAAGTGAGATGGAAACAACATAATTTGTCTTCTACTCATCACTGTCTTGAGTTCCTTACACGTGTTTCCAAATTCCACGTTAATCACATCTTCTTCAACTCTTTGGGATGGTTTGTTACTAGAGCCAATCTGGTCCTGTTCTGTGGTAACATTTTGCCACAAGCAATATATTCCATATTCTTTTTGGTTTCTCTGGAGCAAACCAAAGGAATGACTTTGTGCAAATAGGGTGATAAAGACATGAAGTAATTTCTCCTTGTCTGAATGAGTGAGAGGACTTCATCTGCCTTTCCTTAATTGATATTATCGTATTCTTCACTCCATTTTCTTCACTTCCGTTTTCTTTCTAGCTTGATGAGGAAGAGTGACATGCATCATAATGCTTCTTTTACTCCACATTTCCATAATATGATATTGCCTATTTCGAGCTCATACCTTTGCACCTTAAAAACCTCATACCAATAAAGATGTTACCTTTCACTTATATCAAAACCTCATACCAATAAAGATGTTACCTTTCACTTATATACCCATGATGTTCGCTTTTCCTAGCTGACATGAGACTCTGTCTTATTCCAGACATAAATATTTTCATTTTACTTGTTTTACCTGTCAAATCACCCCTGACTGAATGCACTGGTTGGCAGTCTTTATTTAGGAAGAACAAACTTTTTGTGCATTTTGTATTGGATCCTATCGCTGTTAGTGACACATCAGGAGAATTGTCATTTGCAGCCAGACATGGCTGTTTGGTTTTAATTGAGAATGTAAGTTTAAAAAATTTGTATATTTTTCTTTTTAACGTAAACACGTGAAAATATTGACCTACAAGCAGTTTGGGGAAATTGCAGGTCGAGAGATTAGACGTGGGGGCATTAGTCACCATAAGAGGAATTGGACGTGTCAAAATTATTGAGTTTCTGCAAGCAAGTGATAAGTGAATTGGTTCAAACTCAAGCCATTTTATTTAACCAATGATGGTCATTTTAACCATCTTATGCATCTGTCATTTCCAGGCTGATCCTTATTTGCGAGGTACAATTTTACCTGTGAGGGACAATATTGTTGAAGATGCAACCGGATCAAGTACAAAGGTGATGGAGCTCAAAGATGCTCTTCATAATTTGAATAGTTTAGAGATCAAGCTGAAGGTATGATGTTTTCTCCCTCTCATTTTAAAGCAGTGATATCCAGAAGTTAAATTGGAAGAGCGACTTGCAGGGTAGCAGATTTAGGGTGGGTTTAGTATGACTTTTCCAAGGGCAAAGAACAGAACTTTCAGTCAATTAAAAACATTCTTAAAAAATGTCTGAGAACTTTGAATTTCGTGATATTTAGTTACATAATAAGTAATTTTAACATTTTAAAATGAACATTTAATTACTAATTTTAATTTTTTCTAATGATGAGTTTGGGATGACTTTGGTGAGAGATACTTTTGAGCGAAACACTTTTTTTTTATAAGCAGATTTGAATGAAACAATAATTAAGTTCTTCCTCCAAAAGTATTTTAGAGAATGCTCAAAACATATGTTCTTATCGCCAGGCTCCCAAGGAGGCATTACTGCAGACTCATATTCTGAACTCACTCACTTGGGCTGAAAAGGGTATATTTGTGGATATGGATGAAAAGTTTGTACCGTCCCTGGCCGAAAGAGTATCCTTCACAGCATTCCAACCCATTTCAGGTAAATTGTACTTTGGACTAGATTGGACCTTGAAAGTTGAATAGGAAGAGTAAATGATACAGTATGGTCATTTCTTTTTTCAGGATCAACTAAATCTGAATTACAAAGTTTGCAGCTAAAAAAACTCATGGCAGTGGATATCAAGAATACCATTGAAAGGTTAAATGAATCTCTGGAATTAACTAAAGCAAATATTTCCACAATGGCAGCCAAACTTGCTATACAATCAGTTGAAATTCGGTAGTGTGTGAAAAGGGAAACTATGGAGTAGGCATTCTGATTGGTATTATGTGGGCCAAACATGTAGTTATTAAATGTGTAATGCTATTTTTAACCAAACAAGTGATAGTAGAGTATATAAATATTGGTATATACGAGTAATTTTCAATTTACCCGGAAAGCCATGTATAAATATCATTAAATATTTCTAATTTGACAGGGACCAAATTAGAAACGTAAAATACTAATAAGTGACTAGTGATTCAGCTATCTGAGGGTTATGGTCCTCATTTCTTTATAGAAGGCATTTAATTCACTGGAGGTTTGATGCGTATTTAAGCCTTTTACTTTGTTTCTTCTGTGTGATGTGAGTTTGTGAGTAAATCCACTCCGAGTCCATTAATTTCCAATACAATTTAGAAATTAATTTGAATGGGTTTGCATAGGATGTTCTTGAGTGTGCTCTTTTTTAGAGTGGAAAATGTTCTCGCCGTCTTCGTCCATAGATGTAGGCTTAGTTTGAACCACGTAAGTACTCTATACATTTTCGCTTTCTTCTTTGGATTTTATGTTGCCGTTGTTATAATTAGAACTAGTTTACTGTTTGATTGTAACTTGATATTCACTTGTTTACCAGAGCGTTGATAGATTGGTTTATTGGTAATATATTTAGACACGACAATTGTAAAACACAATGTTCCACTTTTGAGTCACAATACTAGATTTTTATTATAGCAAGCTACAATATGGATGGTTCTTGTCCAAACAGACCTAGAAGAAGCATTATTGGGGTATAAGACGATGTATGCATCTTGGACAGATGATAGCAAAAAAAGAAGAAAAAAAAGATCGAAAGATCCTTACTCTAATTCGTCTTCATTTGTCAAATGAAAATTTACAAGGTATTTTGAACGAGAAGATTGCAATTGGACTATGGTTAAGATTAGAGCAATTAGATTTGTATGATCAAGAAAATGATTAGCTTTGGATCGGTTCGGATGAGCTGGGCAGAGAGCTTCGGATGCCTTGTAGGTGACCTGCAAAATTGAGTAAGCACTCCGATGCTAAAGTCAGCAAATATTCAAATCAACTCAAGAGAGAGAATTAGGTTGTTCGCGTTACCTTGAAATGAGGCGAAATTGTTCTATTTATAGGCAAAGTCCCCGACAACGTTCTCGACAAGGCCTCAACGGCTCTTTAAGATTCCCGTGAAGTGCGGCGTGATGTCTCGGAGTCTGTCGGAGAATAAGCTGAGCCGAAGTGGTCCAAGTAATGCATTTGGTCGGCTCGGCCGTCAAATAAGCTCGGCTCGACATGAGGAAACATGACCGACGTAAGTACACATTGGCAATATATACAATATTATATAGTTGTGATACTCTTATTATTTTTTTTTAGTACAACAATTTGTGGGATATGGGGGATCCAACTTTCGATACGTGAAGGAAGAAGTACATGTCAATTACTGTTTAACTATGTTCATGTTGGGAGTTGTGATACTCTTATTTTTAATGAATTTTTAATGAAGTATATGATAATTTATTCATTAAAGAGAAAATAAAACATAATTATGGGTGGATCAGAGAGTCTGGAGGAGAAACAACACAATGAATGACAATAATAGAGTTCGGTAAAAATCTAGAAACAATGACAAAATATGCAATTATTGTAACAAGGAACGATCCTATCAAATCGGAATGCTACAAGTTATAGAATAAGAATAAAAGAACTGCTTCAAATCAAAAAAGGAAAACAACCAGAAAATTTTGGTCATACTAGTATTGTTGAAGGTGAAAATAGATTCAGGATGTTCTTTTCATGTGTCATAATAGGGATTGATTTTGGTCATACTAGTATTGTTGAAGGTGAAAATAGATTCAGGATGAAAATAGATTCAGGATGTTCTTTTCATATGTGTCATAATAGGGATTGATTTTCGACATATGGTTCCGTGTCCAAAGGTGTAGTATTAATAAGAAAGATTTTAGCTTCTTAATAATTGGTATTGGAACAGTCGGACATGATGTTGTCGGGACACTAGATTATATATGAGACACTTAGTACTCTTTGTCAAGGTTAATCATTAAAAACCTAGAACAAATGTAACAAATAGTTTGTTGTAAGCCCAAATTCTGTTAAAGGCCCAAAATGTCTATATAAGCCTTTAGCCCACTTTGTAATAAGTAGTGGATTGAAATAACAAACTATAGTCTTTTGAATTCAAGAATTCCACTCGTTTTGATGGTATCAGAGCAATTGACGTCTGATCGACAAAATACTACAGAAAAATCAAGATGACAGAATCCATTGAAGCCCAGTCAGAAGTCACCATGAATGCTGCTGCACAGACCATAAATCGAGGTAACATTGCTGCATTAGAAGGTCATGGATTGGAAGACTACATTGATGAAGAGTCTGAAATTCCGTCAAGCAACCTATTGATCATAGAAAACTCAGTATCAACACAAAGAGTGAATCCAACATACATAAAATGGAAGAAACAAGATCGTCTAATAATGTCATGGTTATTGGGATCGATGAGCGAAGAGATTCTTGCAGACCTTCTGGATTGCAAAACGACAAAAGAAATATGGAATAGTCTTGAACAGATATTTTCAAGCAGAAATCTTGCGAAAGTGATGGAACTAAGGACAAAATTACATAACATTCGTAAAGGAGATCTCAGTCTTAAGGACTACATGCGCCAAATCAAGAATCTAATTGATTCTTTAAAAGCCGTTGGTAAAACAATCACTACAGAGGATCATATTCTACATATTTTGTCAGGTTTAGGCTCAGAATACGAGTCCACAATCTCTGTTATCACTGCCAAAATAGGATCCGTCTCAATTCAAGAAGTCACTTCTTTACTACTGTCTCGTGAAAGTAGAATGGAGAAAGATTTAACAGCAACAAACACAAAAGATTCATCATTTCCATATGTTAATCTTGCTCAACATCAACATTCACAGCAATATTCAGCACGACACAATAATGATAGTCACAGAAATCACAATACACAACAATATGATAACAGAGGACATTTTGATAATAATCGTGGCAGAGGTAGAAATGAGAGAGGAAGAGGCCGACCATGGTATCCAAAACCTAGAGTTCAGTGCCAAATTTGTCACAAATTTGGACATACGGCAGATAAATGTTACTTCAGAGTCCCAACTGGTCCTAATTCAGGCATGAATTACAATGGTAGACAATACACACAACAATCGACTAATACATTTCCACAACAGAATAATATGGCAGCAATGTAAATGGCTTCTGACCTTAACAAAGATACAAATTGGTATCCTGACTCTGGCGCTACTAATCACATTACAAATGATTTGAACAACCTTACTGTCAGTAATGAGGTCTCTGATGGGCAGCAAATTCATACCGCTAATGGAGCAGGTTTGTCTATAACACACTCTGGTTATTCCTCCCTTCTTACCCCTACTAAACACATTTTTCACCTACAAAATCTATTGCATGTTCCCTCTGTAACAAAAAACCTACTCAGTGTTAGTCAATTTGCAAAAGACAATCGAGTTTATTTCGAATTTCATCCCAACTTTTGTTTTGTTAAGGACCAAGTCACTGGTAAAATCCTTCTTCAAGGTTCACTCCGTGATGGGCTCTACTCATTCAAGTTACAAGCTACTCCCAAGAATTCTACGGGTCACTCAAATTTCAATCATGTTCTTCATACTACCTCCATATATCCCCCAATCTCTATTCTCCCATAATGCACTTCCCCAATAGACATATGGCACAGAAGGTTAGGGCATCCATCCCCCCTTGTTGTAAATAAAGTTCTAAATGAATGTACTCCCATTCTTACTCAATACAATAAAAAGCCCTCTTTTTGTACTGCTTGTGCGATTGGAAAGAGTCATTCTCTTCCATTTACTCCATCTCAAACTCTATATAATGCTCCTCTTCAACTAATTGTTTCAGACTTATGGGGGCAGCCTATAAACCTTCTAGAAACAACCACAAGTATTATATTACCTTTATTGATGTCTATTCTAAATACACTTGGATCTATTTTTTAGAAACCAAGTCTCAAACTCTACCTGCATTCATTCAATTTAGAACCTTAATAGAAAAACGTCTCAATTCACATATTTTAAGTTTTCAATCTGATGGGGGTGGTGAATTCAAAGCTTTTACTCCCTATCTTAAATCTAATGGGATAGAACACCGCATATCTTGTCCTTATACATCCCAACAGAACGGCATTGCCGAAAGAAAACATCGTCACATTGTAGAACTTGGCCTTGCGCTACTCTCCCACTCATCTATGCCCCTAGAACTCTGGGATGATGCTTTTTCTTCCGCAGTCTTCCTAATTAATTGACTGTCTACCCCAAATCTTGAATGGGTAAGCCCTCTGGAGAGACTTTTCCATCACAAACCCAACTATTCTTTTTTAAAAACCTTCAGATGCCTATGTTTTCCTTGCCTCAGACCTTATAACAACCATAAACTTCAACCACGCTCCACTCCTTGCATATTTCTAGGTTATAGTAATATCCATAAAGGCTATAAATGTCTCTCCACTTCTGGTCGTCTATATATTTCACGGCATGTCACATTCAATGAAACTTATTTTCCTTTTCAACATTCAACTACCACTGCCTTAGCTAAACCATAGCACACAACTACTATTGCAAACTCTCTTTCTGTCATACCTAACTCACCAACTATACCTACTCCATCTCCATCTCCAATCTCTCACCCTAATTCATCCTCTCCTTCAGACCTATCTACTCCTACTTTACCTCAATCACATAATATTCCAACAACCAATCCCTCACTGCCTATTTTACTTCAATCACCTAACATTCCAACAAATAACCCCTCACCTCCTATATCTTCTATTCCTGATAATATTCCAGCTCCCATTTTCACCACTAGTAATCTACCTACAAATTCTGCTCCAAATATCAATTCTAATGTTGTCCATCCACCACCTATTCAAAATACTCACAGTATGGTAACTTGGGCAAAGAATAGTATCTTAAAACATAAAGCTTACCTAGTCGATTACAAAGAAATTGAACCTACATCAGCTAAAGAAGCTTTGAACACAGTCATTGGAAAAAGGCAATGGAAGAAGAGTATTCTGCTCTTATGAGAAATGGGACTTGGGAATTAGTCACTCCTCAAACGAATCAAAAGGTCGTGGGCTGTAAATGGGTATTCAAGATAAAAAGAAATACAGATGGTTCAATATCAAGATACAAAGCGCGCCTTGTAGCAAAAGGTTTTCATCAAACTGCAGATATAGACTATTTAGAAACTTTTAGTCCAGTTGTGAAACCTATTACTATTAGAGTTTTATTTACTCTTGCTCTAGCAAACGAATGGTCTCTACGTCAAATAGACATCAACAATGCCTTCCTCCATGGACTACTACACGAAACAGTACTTATGGATCAACCTATTGGGTTTATTTCACCAAATTCTAAACATCTTGTTTGCAAATTACGAAAGGCTCTCTATGGACTTAAACAGGCTCCACGAGCCTGGTTTGAAAGACTCAGTACCTATCTTAAGTTTCTCGGGTTTAGCGGATCCAAGGCCGACCCCTCTCTATTTTACAGATTTCGTAATAATCACAGATGCTATATACTTATCTATGTGGATGACATAGTTATCACATGAAGTTCTGAGTCTGATATACATGATCTGATTTCTACATTAAATAGCAAATTCTCTCTTAAAGATTTAGGGAAATTGAGCTATTTTTTAGGCATTGAGGTATCTTATCCCACTAAGGATAGCCTTTTCCCATCTCAATCTAAATATGTTACAGATCTCCTACAGAGAGCCAAGATGATTGAGGCTAATGTTATTTCTACGCCTATGGTCAGTGGGTCACTTCTCTCAGCAAGACAAGGAGACCCTTTTACAGATCCTTTCCAGTACAGAAGTATTGTGGGAGCCCTACAGTATGTGACACTTACACGACCAGAGCTTTCTTTTTCAGTCAACAAAGCATGCCAATTTATGCATGCTCCAACCACAACACACTGGCAACTAGTTAAGCGTATCCTTAGATGACTCTCGAAGGATATTCTGATGCCGACTAGGCATCAGATCCAGACGACAGAAAATCCACCTCTGGATTTTGTATCTACCTTGGTGGAAATCCTATTTCATGGGGCTCAAAGAAACAGACAATTATTTCTAGATCTAGTACAGAGGCAGAATACCGTGCTTTAGCCCTCGCTGCTTCTGAGCTAATATGGTTAAAAACCTTGTTCAGTGAACTGCATGTTTCCATTCCTCAGCCACCGATCCTCTGGTGTGATAATCTCAGTTCAGTTCATCTCAGCTCGAATCTCATCCTGCACTCCCGCACAAAACATGTTGAAATAGATATCTATTTCTTACGGGATTTGGTCATCTCCAAGAAAATTAAAGTTCAACACTTACCTTCTGTTGCCCAAATTGCAGATCTCCTCACAAAGCCGTTGTCGCCTCTTCGTTTTCACGATCTTTCTTGCAAGCTCAATGTTCGGATACCCCTCTCCATTGGGTTGAAGGGGGGTGTTAAGGTTAATCATTAAAAACCTAGAACAAATGTAACAAATAGTTTGTTGTAAGCCCAAATTCTATTAAAGGCCCAAAATGTCTATATAAGCCTTTAGCCCACTTTGTAATAAGTGGTGGATTGAAATAACAAACTATAGTCTTTTGAATTCAAGAATTCCACTCGTTTTGACTCTTGATTCCAAAGGCTACAAGTAAATTGGTGATGGTGGAACTTTAACAACTTATGAAGGGAAAAAATTATGCCAACCCTTTATGCCTTTGAGGGGCTCTATAATTCTGGTTATATTAATCGATTTTGGCATATGCATCTTGGGTATACGAGTGAGAATGAGATGATCAAGTTAAACAAATAGGAACTTTTTGGTGGACAGAAAATTAGTAAGGTAGAATTTTGTGACCACTATGTGTTTGGAAAGTAAAAAGGGGAAAGTAAAAACGATTCAAATTCATAAAAGGTATTTATAATACAAAGCAAACATTTAATTATATCTAAAATACATTCTAAAAAAGTGCTGCACACTATATGTTAAGCATTATTGATGACTTGTCTAGAAAAGTTTGCATATCTTTTTAAAGCAAAATAGTGATGTGTTTCTATATTTAAAGATTGGAGAACTGTAGTTTTTATTATTGAGAGAGAAATGAGAAAGTGGGGAAGTGTATGTTTCGTTCAATGATACTACATATTTATACACACTCTAAGTCTAAAAATAGATTCACCTAATTCCACATAAAAGGCAGCTACTCCATTAGCCATAAGAATAGCAACCTACCTAGTTGACTTGACTATAACAAAAAATAACCCTAAAAACTTCCTAGAAACTAGGACTTGGACTAGACAAATTCAAAAACTAAAAGAATCAAACTTGCAATTTGAGTTAACTTACATTCTCCTCCTAACTCAAATACTACAAACACACAACTTGCTCCTAAGAGCTTGGAAACGACCCACACTAAAGGACTTAGTGAAGATATCTACTATTTGCTCTTCTGAGCTGCAATGCACCAACTGAACTTCTCCTTCCTTCTGCATCTCTCTAAGAAGGAAAACCGGATTCAATGAAATAGCTAGAGTGGCTTGATTATCCACAAACACCTTCGCACTCTCTTCTTGCTTTAGATGTAAGTCACACATCAACTTCTTCAACCAAACAGCTTGGTTGACTGTTGTTGTTGCTACAATGAACTCAGCTTCTACAGTTGACTGAGCCACTATATCTTATTTTTTTTAACACTATGAGAAACACCCTGAGCCAAAAGTGAAATAATAGCTAGAGGTGTTCTTCATATCATCTAATGACTTAGCCCAATCACTATCTGAGTAACTCTGCAACTCAAAAATTTCAACTTTACTGTATTTGATACCAAAAGACAGTGTGCCTTAAGATATCTCAAAACCCTCTTTCCAGCAACCATATGATTCTTGTTTGCACAATGAAGAAATCTAGATAAGACACTTACGGTGTACATGATGTCAGGCCTAGTGGATGTGAGATACATGAGACATCTAACCAGACTTCTGTACACATTCTCGTCTGCAGGTTCCTCTCCATCATCCTTCTGCAACTTCTCCTTCTAAATCATCGGAGTGTTCACACTCTTGCACTCCTCCAAATTGAACCTCTTCAATATCTCTCTCATGTACTTCTTCTGACAGAGAAACACTTCATTCTGTCCTTGCTGAACCTCCATGCCAAGGAAGTAATGCATCAGACCTAGATCGGTCATCTCGAACACCTTCATCATTTCTTGCTTGAACAGCTCTATCTGAATATTATCACTTCCTGTCACCAGCAAGTCATCTACATAGAAAGATACAATCACAATAGTAATACCTAATTTCTTCACATAAAGTGTGGATTCACTCAGACTTTTCACAAAACCCAAGCTCAGCACGTGATCATCCATCTTGCTGTACCATGCCCTAGGAGTTTGCTTCAACCCATAGAGAGTCTTCTTCAATTAATAAAACTTTTTGCTCTTGCCTTAGTGTGATGAAGGCGTCTGGTTGCTCAACATAGATCTCTTCTTCTAACACTTCATTTAGGAATGCTGACTACACATCTAGTTGATACACCTTCCATCCATGCTGAGCTGACACAGCCAGTAGTATCCTGATTGTATCCATTCTTGCAACCGGTGCAAGAGTCTCAGAGAAATCAACTCCCCAAACTTGTGCACACCCTTTCACCACTAACCTAGCATTGAGCTTGTTCACAGAGCCATCTGGATTTAATTTAGTCTTGAAAACCCATTTGACTTCAATCACCTTTCAGTCAGTAGGCTTCTCCACTAGCTCTCATGTCTTGTTCTTCTCTATTATTCTCAACTATTCCTTCATTGCCTCCATCTACTTTTGATCTCTTTGAGCTTCTTCAAACCTTGCAGGCTCCAACACAGCTACGCTGCTTCTTTCATATACCTCAGTCGGTATTCTAGTCCCTCTCACTAGTGCATCATTAACTAGTTCATCCGGATCTAGAGAGACTTTACTTCATCTCTACTTCTTCTGTCCAAGCCCACTCCTCATCCTCCAAAAATTAAACGTCTCTACTAATCACCGTCTTCTTTGTGTGAGGTTGATAGATCTTGTAGGCTTTGGACACCATGCTATAGTGCTACAAAGATTCCTGGTTCCGCCTTCTCACTTAACTTGTCTCTCTTTACCTGTGGAACATGAAAAAAACCACAAACAACCGAACACCTTCAAATTTATCAGTTTTGATTTAGTATCAAACCAAGCTTCATAGAGTGTCTTCTTCTCCAAGACCCTTGTAGGCAGTCTATTCAATAGAAAGACTGCTGTGTTTGCTGCATCAACCCAAAACTCCTTTGGCAAAGTCTTCTTATGCAACAAGCACCTTGTCATCTCCATAATACACATGTTCTTCCTTTCACTATCTCCATTTTGTTGTGGAGAATATGAAGCAGTGAGCTGATGTTCTATCTCAGCTTCTTCATAGAAAGAATTAAACCTTTGTGATGGATATTCAGTCCCATTGTCGGTCCTCACCGCCTGAATCTTACAGCCACTTTGATTCTCAACCTATCTTTTAAACTTTAGAAACACTCCAGTTTCTTCAGATTTCTACTTCATGAAATATATCCAACACATCCGAGTATAATCATCAATAAAGATAATGAAATACCTTCTACCATTCAGTGGGAGAGTTGGTTGAGGTCCACACAAATTAGTGTGGATGGGCTGTAGCTTCTCGGTTGCTTTCCAAACTGACTTCTTGAATGGCAATCTTGTTTACTTCCTTGTTAGACAAGCTCTGCAATTTATTTTCAGCTCCTCCAAAACTCGTACTCTTATTACCATCTCATTTTTCTACAGATACTGCAACCTCTTCTGATGAAAATGCCCCAACATCTTGTGCCATAACTCAGTGTCATTCACTTGACACTTGAAAGCTATTTGCTCCTTCTCGAATGGATCTAATGAAAAGCTCTTGTGCTGCATCTTTATTTTGAACAACTCATTCCCACTGGAATCAGAAACGAGGCACTTCCCGTCTTCAAACAACACTTTAAATCCCTTATCTACCAGTTGACCAACACTTAACAGGTTTTGATCAATCTCAGGGACAAACAACGCTTCACTAATCAACTTGGTTCCAGCACAGCTCTCTATTGACACTGTGTCCTTCCCTTTCACTTCTAGATACTCACCATTTCTTATCTTCACTATTGACTTGAATGACTTGTCAAGGTCCTTGAACAACTCTTTGTCACTTCTCATATGATTGGTACACCACTATCAACCAACCAACTATCACATTGAGTGGCTGATGAGAAACAGGTAACCACAAAGAGTTGATCTTCTTCTTGTTGTACTGCAACATGTGCTCCTTCTTGTTGTTGAGTCTTGGCACCTTTACAAAACCGTTCGATGTGTCCTAATAAATTACACCTTCTACACTTCACATCTAGCTTTCTCCAGCATCTGAAGTGTGGATGGTTGTGCTTACCGCAGTGCTTGCATGCACTACCAACATCATTTGCATCAAATTTTGAGCTACTGCTGCCACTCGCCTTCTTTCATTTCCACTTCTTCTCTCTTCCACCTTCTCCCTGCTGCATCCTAGCTTTCAGAGCCCCCTCAATGCTTCCTTCTTACCTCATCTACCTCCTCTACTCATGTGCTTGCAAAGCACTAATAACTTCTATCACTTTGAGTTTGAAGAGGTCTTTAGTATTCTCTAAGGAAGCAATGGTTGCTTCATATCTCTCAGGTACTGAAACCAGAATCTTATGAATCAATCTATTTTCAGATAGATCAGTTCCTAATGCTCTTGCCTTGTTAGCAATCCCAATCAACTTGTCTGAGTACTCTTTGATGAACTTAGAATCCTTCATCTGCATTCTCTCGAATTCTCTCATCAAGTTCAACACCTTCATGCCTTTAATCCTCTCATCACCTCCATACTAACTTTTGAGGAACTCCCAGATCTCCTTTTCTGACTTCAAGGCCATAATTCTGTTGAATATGGCGGGAGACACAGCTGCATATAGGCAAGCTCAAGCTTTTGCCTTCCTAGTGACCCTCTCCTTGTGAGTCTCCATCTGATGCATTGTTGGATTATTAGAAAGTGGAGCAATTTCATAATCTTGCTCAATTGCTTCCCAATAATCACAACCCTCCATGTAGGCTTGTATTCTGATTGTCCATGCTTGGTAGTTTTCACCATCAAACACAGGTGGAGCCAGTGAGGAAAGATTGTTTGATCCTAACTCCATTGGACACAACTCTCACAGGTGTATCACTCAGTTTCTCTCGGGAATATTTCACTAATACTCACTCACAGATCCCTTAAGAATTTAATGCTCTGATACCACTGTAGTTCTTATTATTGAGAGAGATGTGAGAAAGTGGGGAAGTGTATGTTTCATTCAATAATGCTACATATTTATACACACTCTAAATCTAAAAATAGACTCAACTAATTCCACATAAAAGGCAACTACTCCGCTAGCCATAAGAATAACAACCTACCTAG